TGAAATCAATGAAAAATATATTTAAAAAATGAAAAAGAGATATAACTACAGACATAGGATAGTTTAACAATATTACAAGACTGTTATGTAACTTGATATCAGTACATTATCAAATACATGGATAATTGCTTTCCAGGAAAATATATATAACCAAATTTGCCTGAAGAAGAGGTAGAAAAATCTGAATAAATTGATGACCATAGACAATATTGAAAAGGTTATTTAGTACTACTTTCCCAAAATACATCAGAACCCCCCCAAACATGAAAAGCTTCTGAACTCATGGCTAATATTATCCTTATGCCAAAATTGGACAAAGAAGTCAAAACCACATCACACACACACACACATTACAACAAGAGACTAAACTTGTGTGTAATGTTGATGGGATCTCATTGCTCTCCTTCTCTCTCTGGAAGCTATGTTCTCTCTCTTATGCTCCTTGCCTCTTTGCCCTTTCTCCATCCTGTAGCTTCCAGAGTGGCAGCATCTTAATAATAAAAGGCCAAAAGGCATCACGACCAAAACAACCAAACAACTGGTCACCAGGAGGTGCATGGAGCGCCTCTCGGCCATAACGACCTAACAACTGGTCTCTATGATGCCCACTGGGTCCCGCCTCCCACCCAGCGTGGCCAGCAGGTGTCAGTCTGGGTCCCGCGTCTCGCCTGGCGGGGCAGAAGTCAGTCTGGGTCCCACCCAGTGTGGCTGGCAACAGTCAGTCTGGGACCCGCGTCCCATCTGGCGCAGCGGGAATCAGTCTGGGTCTCGTGCGATATCACACACTGGACTTCTAGTCTATCTATATATATAAAAGCCTAAGTGACCAGCCGACTGGCTGTGATGCACACTGACCACCAGGGGGAAGATGCTCAACGCGAGAGCGGAAACCACAGGCATGGAAACATGGAAGAGACTGGTGAATTTCAGAGGGAAGGGGGGAGTAGGGAGGGCGGGAAGAGATTAACCAAAGATGTTATAGGCATACTAGAGGCCCGGTGCATGGATTTGTGCACCAGTGGGGTCCCTTGGCCTGGCCTGTGCCCTCTCGCAATCCGGGACCCCTCGGGGGATGTCGCACTGACGTTTTCGGCCCCATCCCCGCAGGCCAGGCTGAGGGACCCCACCAGTGAACGAATCCGTGCACTGGACCTCTAGTGTGACAGTAAGAGTCAATGGACAGGCGGCTATTGTAGAAGTGCCAATGGTCAAAATGAAGTTCAATCCCTTTATGACTTCTGACCCGAGCAAGAACCATAAAAGGCATTTCAACACACTTTCCCACATTCAAAGGAAGATTATGTCTTCTCCTCTTTCCAAAGAGCTGAGACAGAAGTACAATGTTCAATCCATGCCCATCCAAAAGGATGATGAAGTTCAGGTTGTTCAAGGACATTATAAAGGCAGCAAATTGGCAAAGTAGCCTCAGTTTACAGGAAGACATATGCCATATACACTGAACGAGTGCAACGGGAGAAAGCTAATGGTACAACTGTTCATGGGGACATTCCCCCCAGCAAGGTGGTGATCACTAGACTAAAGTTGGATAAAGACCACAAAAAGATCCTTGAACGTAAAGCCAAATCTCACCAAGTAGGAAAGGAAAAGGGCAAATACAAGGAAGAAACAATTGAGAAGATGCAGGAATAAAGTAATATTATATGCAACTTTCATTACAAACTTAAAATGAAAAAAAAAAAGATTCAACGGACAAAACAACAAAATATCAACGAATAGGTCAGTTCTAAGAAAGGGACAGGCAGTTAGCATTTACGCTAACAGCACAGATGCGCACGTGCCTTGCCTGGAAATGCTTTTTCAGTGCTTACTAGCATCACAGCCATTCTAACCTGTTGTATGCACCTTCCTCCAACCAGTCATATCCCCACAAACCTGGTCAAACTCTACGGAATGTGTCTTTACCTTGTATCCATGTGGAGCTCACTGAGTAGTTCACTTTGCATGTAGTCCCAGGACAGTTCAACTGCGCCCAGGTAGTATCTTCTGGTGGCACCAAAGCTGACAGGCAAAAGGCACAGAAAAAAGCAGGTGGCCAGCTCTATTTGCATGGCTCTTACGGCTAGGAAATGTTCAACTGGAGAAACGAAGGATTAATTCTTCTCTAAAACATCCTTGGCTCCCAAGAGAGAAAAAGGTAAATCTTCTATCATTTAGTGAAAAGTCCCAAAATTTCTGCAGAGGATTTTAGGGAGCGTTACCTGCTGGATGTGACAGCAGCAGCACTGAGCAGTAAGGGATAGGATTGCTTCCTTTTTGGCTGTGGGAAGCAACCACAGGAAGAACTGACTAGGAAAAGGGCGGCTGAGCTAAAGCTTAACCCATTCACCTCTGAGAACAGTAAGAGCACGAGAATACTGCTTTAATCAGAACCTTTAAGGAAAGGAAGAGAGGGAGGGGGAGGTCAAGGTACTCATATTCCCAGCCTACTCCTACCCTCTTCCTTAGTAGCAGCAACAGATTCTGGAATCCACTTGCATAAGCAAGAGTAACCAGGATCCTAATAGCCTCCCTATTTCTCCCCTGGCCCCTCACACGCCACTACTGACTTTTTAAAGCTACGAAGCAGCCCAGCCTGTGTGGCTCAGTGGTTGAGTGTTGACCCATGAACCAAGAAGTTACCAGTTCGATTCTCGGTCAAGGCACATGCCCGGGTTGTGGGCTCGATCCCCAGTGTGGGGTGTGCAGTAGGCAGCCAATCAGTGATTCTCTTTCATCATTAATGTTTCTATCTCTCTCTCCCTTCCTCTCTGAAATAATAAAAATATACCTAGGGCGGGGGGAAAAAATGGACATATATGTAATACCCTTTGTAATAAAAAATAAAATTAAAAAAAAAAAGAATGTCGAAAAGCGGATCCTGTCACTCCTTTGCTCAGAACCCTCTACTGGCCTCTAATCTCACTCGGAGTAAGATCCTGGGTCTCTACCAAGGCCTAGTGCATCTACCATGATCTGCATGTCCCTTCCTCCGACCTCCGTGGTCCCATCTCATTTTGGCTACTGACCTCCTTGCTCTTCCTTAAAATACAAAGCAAACTCTTGTGCCTAAAACTTGCCACTGGCTATTTCCTCTTCTTGAAACACCTTTCCCCCAGATCCCCACACATTCCCACTCCCACATCTCCTTCAAGTCTTGGCTCAAATCTTGCCTTCCCAATGAGCTCCAACAAGGACCAACTTTACATGGTAAGCTCTGTACCCACACTGGCACTACTGATATCCCTCCTGGCTTTGTTTTTATTTACTTTCAAAAAATATTTAAAAAATCAAAATATTGATTTCAGAGAGGAAGAAAGAGGGAGAGATAGAAACATCAATGATGAGAGAGAATCATTGATCGGCTGCAACCTTCATGCCCCACACTGGGGATCAAGCCCACAACCGGGGCATGTGCCCTGACTGGGAATGGAACCTTGACCTCTTGGTTCATAGGTCCACACTCAAGCACTGAGCCACACCAGCCAGCCAGGCCTGGCTTTGTTTTTATACATAGCACTCATAACCACCAGAAATGTATGTGTCTATTTATCTTGCATCGTTGTTACTTGCGGCTTCTTACGTTTGCTTACATTTGGCCCAGGTATAGGATACTGTATCTCCTTACATCAGAAACCTGTCATGCTTGGTTCAAGCAGAGAAACTATTGGGTTAATATACATTAGGGGGAGTGAGGGCCTCCCCAAGGCCCTCAAAGTATAGGAGATAATAAGAAGAAACTTGACCAGGGTTGCAATAAGAAATGTTATCACTGAGAGTTCAGTTCTGCCCGGGTAAGAATGTGTTTGGCAGCAATTGGCGAGATGTTGTCCAGCTTGGAAACAAGCCAGAGGAAGGCCCTTTGATAAAAATGTGCTGTACCTCTCTCTACCAGGCACCAGGATGCAAAGGTAATAACTGCATGTACTACATGCCAGGAACTGTTGGAAGTGCTTTCTAAAGCAGCTGCTATTCTTTTTAAAAAAATTTTTTTATTGATTTCAGAGAGGAAGGGAGAGGGAGAGAGAGATAGAAACATAGATGAGAGAGAAACATTGGTTGGCTGCCTCCTGCACACCCCACAATGGGGATCAAGCCCGCAACATGGGCATGTGCTCTGACCAGGAATCAAACAGGTGACCTCTCAGTGCATAGGATGATGCTCAATCACTAAGCCACACCGGCTACAACTGTAATTCTTGTCTTCATTTTACAGGTGATGAAACTGAAGCATAGAGATGTTAGGCAACTTGGCCATGGTCACCCAGTTTGTAAGTGATAGCATTCAAACCCAGGTAATCTGGTTCCAGAAGTCATGCTCCTAACCCCTAAGCCTCAGAGATGAATAAAATCCAGGTCCCGCCTTCTGGGAGACATAGTCCAATGGGGGAGACAGAAAAGTATCCCCATAGTTACAATACAGGGTGATAAATTCTCTGCCAGATGCTTTACACATTATCTGATTTAATCCTCACAAGCAACTGCAAAGAAAGGTGTTTCAGGAAAAGGAAATAGCGGGTGCTAATTTCTAGGCACAAGAGTTTGCTTTGTATTTTAAGAGCAAGGAGGTCAGTAGCCAGAGTGAGATGAGACCACGGAGGTTGGAGGAAGGGACATGCAGATCATGGTAGATGCACTATACCCTGGTAGAGACCCAGGATCTTACTCTGAGTGAGGTAAGAGGCCAGCAGAGGGCTCTGCAAAGGAGTGACAGGATCTGCTTTATAGTTTTTTGGGTTTTTAAAAAAATATGTTTTTATTGATTTTTAGAGAGAGAGGAAGGGAGAGGGAGAGAGAGATGAAGCATCGAGGTGCACAGAGATTAAATGGTTTGCCTAAGGCTATGCAACTACCCATCTGTCCTAGGCACTGGGTGCACAGTTGTGAAAAATAAAAACAGCTGAGAGACAATAAGCAATACTTCCAATACATTAGTATCTTATTCACTGTGTTAGAAGGTAAAATAAATGTGCACAAAAGAAAGTACAGTCAGCCCTTCGTACCTGTGGGTTCTGCCTCCTGGGGTTGGGGATCCTCAGATGTGGACAGCCAATAGTAATCATTGTTCTACAACATCCTATCCTATCTAATAAGAGACAAACATGGTAATTAACCATACCTCCGCTACGCTTCCCATTGGCTAATCAGGGTGATATGCAAATTAACTGCCAACCAAGAATGGCGGCCGGCGGCCACGCAGCTGAAGCGAACATGAGGCTTGGTTGCCCCCGCAATGGAGGAAGCCAAGGTTCCCCGCCTGCTGTGGCCCAGCTCTGAGCTCCGGATGCAACAATGTTTCAATTATAGAAGCTAAACAAACCCGGAAACCTGCTTTCAGCCAGCCACCCTCGGAGCTGGAGCTGCAAGAAAGTTTCAATTACAGAAGGTAA